CTTGATTAAATTGACCATCTCTTAATATTGCTTTGCAGCTCCTTCATTATATTAAAACAACAAGGTTTCAGACCAAAGACAAGACACACATATTTTTTGATGACAATGGGGATCCTCCAGCCCTTTATGATATTGTGAATTGGCAGATAAGCTCTACTGGCTCCTTGGAGCAGGCGGTGGTAGGAAAATATGACTCTAGCTCTACAGATGGGAAGATCATGAGTATAGACAGTGCGGCCATTGTATGGGATGATAATGATACCAAGGTATGGTAATAAATATATATACACAGTGTATAGGAAATGTTTGACCAACCAAAGGACTCTCTTCAGACAGTTTTGTGATGTCAACACCACACAGTTAAGTATTCTACTGCAGTTACAGAAATACTTGGTAGAGAACACACCCCCAGCCTGAAGATCGGACCATGAAGCAACATCAGCACAGTGATCAGTAGAGTTGATGCTCAAATTCAGACCATTTAGATTGGAACCTTGAACCAGATTTTATCAATTCAGGTGGCCCAAGTCATATCCAAATCTCAGTGTTATTTTTGGCAGTTCAGTTTCCCAAAAGTCTCAGGCTTTGCTACTGCTGTTGCCTAAGCACCCTTAGAATAACTGCCAGTGGCACCAAGGCCCACCCTTTTATCTTTGTTTTCCATACATAAACCCCAACCTGTAACTAATCAGAGGCAGGGCCGGTGCTAGACTATTTTGCGCCCTAGGCAGGACCAGCTACTTGCACCCCCAGCCCCCTTCCTGTTGCACAACACCCAATTTCCCACGCGCTGCTCCATTCTCATGCTGGCTAGCTTCCGCAGGCGACAGGTGGATGTCGGGAGCCGGGAGCAATAGCCAGACTGCTATTGGCTATTTTAATTTGAAATAGCCAATAGCAGACTGCCTATTGAAACCCCACCCACTGAGCAGAGAAAGTTCTCTCAGTTCTGCTCCTCTGCTCAGTGGGCGGGTGCAATAGCAAGTCTGCTATTGGCTTTTGCAATTTGAAATAGATGGGGCTCCGTGGGGGGGTGAGGGGGTCAAGGGTCAAGGCTGCGCCCTAGGTGGCTTCCTACTTTGCCTAGTGGAAGGACCGGCCCTGACCAGAGGAGAAAAATGAGTGATGAGCTCATCTCTATGTCAGTCTGTGTTCTTTTCCAATCATCAAGCACCTTGTCATCACATGAACTCATTGGCTCCATGTGCTGCTTCTTTTCCCGCTTAGCTCTGCTGTAGAGTAGACCACAATAAGCTGGTGCCAGGTCAAATTCAAGTACTTACACTGCTTGTATGAAAAATACAATAAATGGTGTATTAATGAATACAGTATTTATTAGTATCTTTATTCAATGTCTGCCTGGAGTTCCACTTTAAATGTTTACACTCAAATTCAAAACTAAAATTAGGTCTTGCATGTATATGGGTAGAGGAGATGAGGGCAGCCTGCCTGGGGCTTTAGTTTTTAAATCTGGCTCTTGCACTGGGTCACCCCATTATTTGGAGCAGCCCGGTTGCTAAAGCCATAAGCTGTGCAGTCCAGGTACTATCAATTTCATCCTTCCTAGGTTCTTAGGAAGATAGACACTGGTGAGCTGTACAAAGTAGTCATGTGACAAAAAGGTGCCATACAGAAGCATATAGGGTATGCAAGCATATAGTGGATACATACCAGAAGATGGTAATGTGAGAGGCCTTCCTGACTTTAACACAGTTGGAATATTTTGTGTGCAATGGAAACAGACATACGGAAATCTACCTTTCACTGCATCACTTATTCTTTTTATTGTTATAAAGGTTCCACCATCAAAGTGCAGCTCTAGCTGTCCACCAGGATTTATGAAGGTGGCCATCCCTGGAAAGCCCATCTGCTGTTTCCAGTGTTTGCCGTGTCCTCAGGGAGAGATTTCCAATGAAACAGGTGATCTCAATTATTATTTGTAGGTTTTCATCCGTCATTAAAGCTGTAATCAGGGCCGGATTTCCCACAAGGCCAACCGAGGCCCGGCCTTGGGGCAGCAGAGAGTAGAGGGGCAGCAGGGGTGTGGAATTTCTATCTCCCGACGCCCGGGACATGCAGTTCCTGGCACTGGGCAGGTAGTTGTTTTTTACATTTAGCCCTGCTTTGGGCAAGCAGGGCTATATGTACAGCGGGGAAGCAGCCGCTTGTTTTGTACAAGTGATCTCGGGGATGTTGCCGAGATCACTTGTATGCAGCATGCATACAGGGGGGCGTATTGAGGAACCTGGCATTGGGGCAGCAGAGAGAGTAAATCCGGCCCTGGCTGTAATGTATGACAATATTGATTTCCACCTTCTTCTGTAGATGCTGTCAGGTGCCACCCTTGCCCCTGGAATATGTGCTCCAACCTTCACCAAGATGCATGCATGCCAAGGGTCACTGAGTTCCTCTCCTACAGTGAAGTAATTGGCATTATCTTGGCTACCATTGCCATAGTTTCCTCTGCTGTCCCACTTGGAATCCTTGGAGTTTTTATTCATTACAGGACCACACCAATAGTGCGAGCCAACAACTGGTCTCTCAGCTGTCTTCTGCTCATATCTTTGTGCCTCTGCTTCCTTTGCTCATTGGCATTCATAGGACAACCACAACCAGAAAAGTGCCTTCTCCGCCAAGTTACATTTGGTTTGGCCTTTTCACTGTGTATCTCTTGTGTTCTAGCCAAAACTATTACAGTTGTCATTGCCTTCAAAGCCACCAAGCCTGGAACCCAGTTCAGAAAATTTACAGGGATAAGAATGTCCTATTCACTCATTGCCCTTTGTGTACTAATCCAAGTATCCATCTGCGTGGCTTGGCTTTCTTCCTCGCCTCCTTTTCCCGAGTATGACACTCACACTCAGGCAAAAATGATTATCTTTATTTGCAATGAAGGTTCTCCTGTTGCATTTTGGTCCATGCTGGGATATCTCGGACTCCTAGCCACCATCAGTTTCATCATCGCATTCTTGGCCAGAAGATTACCTGACAGCTACAATGAGGCCAAGTTCATCACCTTCAGCATGCTGGCCTTCCTCAGTGTCTGGATATCCTACATTCCGGCCTCTCTCAGCTCACAAGGGAAGTACATTGTGGCCACAGAGATCTTTGCCATCTTATCCTCCAGCTGGGCTCTAGTTTTTTGTATTTTCCTGCCGAAATGTTTCATCATATTGTTTCGACCAGATATGAACTCTAAAGAACATCTGATGAGGAAAAATCAAAATGTAGACATCTTTTATGGGACTACAGTAAGGTGATCACTGATATATTTATGAAAGTGTAATTCCAATCTTTTTGGGGGAAAAAAATATTTATATGTATGTATGTATGTATGAATTGTATGTGTGACCTGTATACATTGTAAGGATTTTAGGAAAAGAACATATCAGATTCATACTTTTTTTGTTCTGCAGGACCAAACAAATTGTTGTTTGGTTCACCATATCCTTTCCCAGTTTCTGAATGGGAGGACCTGCCATCAATACAATGACCTGAGCAATCTCTGTGTTGTATTGATAAATCTGCAGACTCTGCAACACATTAGAAATAGATGAGCTTTAGAGAGTAGCTTACCAAAAATTAGATTAATTTTGCAGGGCATGCCTCAAATTTGATTTGTATTGACACTCCCGGCCCTGTGGTAAAGTTCTCTTGGGCTTAGGCTCTGAGGGTATTGGGCTGTGAGCTGTCTGCCTAGGGGCCGAAAGAAGCAGGAATCTCACCTCCTAGAAGAAATTATGAAGATCCTGGCTCCTGGAAGATAATGTATTTGGTCTAGAGCTAAATAACTGCAGCTGCCCCCCCCCCCATCCTCCCACAATACAAGTGGTGAGTATCTGACCTTGTGACTCCACACATGGACCTTATAGCTCTTCTGCCTGGAACACCAGGATGGAGATACCACTAGCACCTTCATCTCCAGAGAGCCATTCCCAATGTGTGTATTTCAGCCAACATAGCTAGGGATGGGTTTGGGTTCACTGCTACCATGGGTTTGTGGCAGATCCAAAATACAAGTTTTCAGCAAATGAATATGGAAAACTGTGAGACCAAGCTCTTTGTAATGATAATGTGACATTGAGGGTGCTTGTGAATAAGCCATCTGTCAGGAACCAGATCTGAACCCAGGGCATCTGCTGTAGCTGGCAGTGGTTCTACCTGCTGAGCCACCTTAGAAGCTTGGATAGCTCCTTGCCTGCTCTCATGTGTAATGCTCAGTTAAACCTAGTCTCTGCTGAACTCTGAACTCCTTGCTCCTCCTTTGTACTTCCTATTTAAGCCACGCCTCTGCACTTCCTCTTTGCCAGATTATTGTGCACCTGCCGTTATCTTGCTTCCTCTGTGATACAATCCTCTCATACTGCTACCTGTGTACCGACCTTTGGCTGCTGATTCACCAACTACTCTCTCCATCTCCTGCTTCATACCCAATACCTTTGGCTACTGATCTCGGCTTGTTCACTTACTACGCTTCTGCCTGCTCCTCCACCACTACCGTCTGCTTGTGTACCAAACCCGGCCTGTTATACTACGAATTGCCTGCTGTTTCAGCTGCTGGACTCTGAGCCTGATCCCAGATAGTGACACCATCCCTCTCACTATAAAAGGGTGAGCTCACAGCAGCCATATTGGCAATGTGCTTTATCTGTGATAATAATATATGTGCTGACAAATGCGTAGACATAGATTACTGTAGGGCTTGTAGGACTGGCGGGTCTTTTAACCTCTTGCCGTCCGACCCGTAGTAAAAAAACGGACGGACGGCACTGCTGCATTTGCGGGTTGCCGTCTCCAGACGGCAATTTTTTTCTGCTCGCGCTCGCCCCCTAGCGGGCACGCACGGGCAGAAAAGACCCGACCGTTGCACACACCCGTTACCGGGTGTTTCACATATAGGCGATCAGCGGGTCCATAGCCCGCAGATCGCCTATATGTGCTCGTTCGCGGCCTCACCCCTCACCTTGAATCCCGGGATCCGCTGCCCCATCTTGGATCCCGGGACCGGCTCCTTGCTGATCTCCGTCCGGGCTGTGAATGCAGAAGTGATGTGTATTACATATGCATGACTGAATAAATGTCAGTCAAAGTACCGCAGCGCTGAATACTGAAAAATGGCCTGGATGGGAAGGGGGTTTAACACCGCGGATGTCAACTGGTTAAAGACGATAGTAGTAGATGGAAGTAAACCCCGAATGTCATGTAGGTAGCAAAATTGGGTGTATCTCAGAGAATTGGGAGTGGGGAGGATTTTTACCTTTATCATCTCTTGTTACATTTTAATGCTGCTGATGTCCTGCGGCCTCTTTACAGCCTCACAGCCTGCGTGTGTTTTTCCTAACCTTTGCTGCCTGAATTGGGGGTTTTTTTGCAGCTGGTTTTACATGGTGACCAAGTAAGACCAATAGGGTTGCCTCCTTTTCTTCAAGCAAAACCCAAACACTGTAGCACCCAACAGCAATTTATTTGGAGAATATACCAGAGGGAGAGCAAGGAGAGATAGCCAGGAGAGAGAGAGAGGAGAGGCAACCGGGGGAGAGAGAGAGGAGAGACAGCTAGGGGAGAGAGGAGAGACAGCCCGGAGAGAGAGAGGAGAGTCAGCCAGGAGAGAGAGCAAGGAGAGACAGCCAGCAGAGAGAGAGGGAGAGCACAGACTGTCAGGGAGAGAGAGGAGAGACAGCCAGGAGAGAGGGAGACGAGGCAGCCAGGGAAGAGAGAGAAGAGACAGCCAGGAGAGACGGCCAGGAGAGAGAGTGAGAAGAGACTACAAGGGGAAAGATAGGAGAGACAGCTAGGAAAGAGAGAAGAGATAGAAAGGCGAGAGAGCTAGGAGAGAGAGGAGAGACAGCCAGGAGAGAGAGAGAAGAGACAGCTAGCAGAGTGGGCCCTTCCAGCTGGTATGGAAGCAGCTGAAGTGCCAAGCAGCTTTGCCAAGTTTGTGCATTCTGGTGCTGGGCCTATTGATGGTTTGGGAACAACAAGTTTAACTGTTTGGTCCAGCAACTGGGAGAAAGGAAACCTGGTGTGGGAAGGGGAGATGGTGGGATGGGTCTTAGCGAGTGTTGCTTTGGGTTTAAAAATTTCACTCTGGGGAAGGGCGGGCAGCCTATGGCTGTAGAACTGTATGCTTAATATTCTCTGCTGCCTGCCCTACCCCTCTTGTCCCTGGAGAAAGACTTACAGGAAAAGGCTCACAAGGACTGAAGCGGGATTAAAATGAGTCTCATGCTAAACGTAATGGTCTCACAAAAGCCACTTGGGTCCCCCTTGAAGCATCTTTCCCGGCTGCCAATATGTTTACTCAGTTTGCTTTGCCGTCCCTGCCAGTGTCACCTTGACTTGGGCAGGGACAGCCTTTTGAGAAATAAAAATATAATAATAAAAATGTATTAAAAAAAGTAAATCTGTGAATTATTTTAACAAAATTAAAATACATTAAAAATTGTGTAATAATGTGGTGATTTGGGACAGCTCAGACTATGAACTGGAGGAAGGGACTGTGTTCACCAATTCTTCCTCATGAATGATTCAGGGAAGTTATTCTTTTCAGTTACCGCAGCGTGTTATGTTATAAAACACACTACATGGGTCACATTCCTCTGCAACTTACATGTTTTAAATATTTAAATTGCCACCTCTGCCCATATTTGTTTGACCTGTGCAGGGATGGTTTAACAATAAAAATAAAAACATAAAATGAAACAGTTGTAAATATGCAAATATAAAAAAAAGTGATGGTGGGTGGGAATATTATTATTATTATACAGGATTTATTTAGCGCCAACAGTTTGTGCAGCACTTTACAATGTAAGGAAGACATTACAATCACAATACAATTCAAGACAAGATGGTAAGGAGGGCCCTGCCCCTGAGGGCTTACAATCTAAAAGGGAGGGGGAAGTGATACATGAAGAGGTAGCTGTATGGGGATGAATTGTGTGAGAATGTGATGGTTCAGTGGTTAGGTTGAGGTGGGATAGGCTTCCCTGAAGAGATGAGTCTTTAGGGAACGCCTAAAGGCAGTCGAGGTGGGAGATAGACGGACAGGTTGGGGTAAAGAGTTCCAGAGGATGGGAGAGACTCTAGAGAAGTTCTGGAATATGTTATATGTGTTATTCTATGTAATTAATTATTATGTGTGTTATTATATATGGGATTGTCCAGGCCAGGAACTAAATGAGATGCAGTAACTGCTTTTTACAAGTAATCCCATCTATTAGTCCTGATTCCTTGGTGGTAGACTATATATATGTATACTTAATAGGGAACTTTTCTCAAGACATTGGGATTCAGCTGGATGCAGGACTGGTGCTTTGTCACAAACCTGAAATACTATGTAACTATGTAACCTTTATTACTTTAGCCCCCGCATAGGGAGCTCACTAGCTCGACAGTACCTTGCACACGTACATATGTTGCAATCCCATTAATATTCAATAGCGCCCAAAGCAGTTCCAAATACAGTCAAATAGAGAGTCTCACTGCACTCCTGACCGAGAAGCCCCATACAATGTGGGGGGGGGGGGGGGCCTGAAG